TTTGGGCCGTCTGCAGTTTTACCAGGTGATGAATAAAAGGAAGATCTAAAAAGAATTGCTGGGCCCCACCTTCAGCAATTCTTTTTAGATCTTCCTTTTATATGACCAGTGTCACCTTATTAGCAAAGGCAGATAATCCCTTCAACAAACAAATTAAGATAGATAGGTAAATAAACAAATAAATAAATGCCAAAATCCCTTAGAAAAACAAGTGCAAAAACAGTCAACAAAATACTGGCAACAAAACACAATTAGAACATTTTTCAACGTGATCAAGTGATATTCATCACCTGGATGCATGTATCAGCAGATTCACTGAGTTAGGTCTGTACTGTTGCACCCAGGCCCAGGTCCTGGACATCATCATTTTCAGGCACTATCTGGGGCCACTGAAAAACCTCCAAAATAGGAATGGAGTGACCTTTACACCTTGTAAGCTGGCAGTTCTTGTCAAGGACTTCACATGTTGGCTCAGACAGTATTGACACAGACAAAAGGCAAGAGCTATAGCAATCAAGGTGCAGAATATCAGACATTCCAGCTCTTCCAGTATCTGACTGAAAATCAATGCAGATTTGTACAACTGGTGAAAATTTGAACAATGTGGTAGCTATAAAAAAATGTAAGAAGCTGAAGGACAACTGTGTAGTTTGTCCCTACTAACTCTTGAATAAAACAAGTGTGGTTCTCCTGGATCTAAAACAAGAAAACTCTATCACTCACAATCTGTACTCAAATTAATGGAAAAGCAAAGTTGTAGGAAGGGAGGTGGGATGAGAAAAATTCTCAGATATAACTGCCCTTGTGTGTTTGTGTGTGTGTGTTAAGTAAATTTCCATTTATTGTGGAATATATGTGTTATATATCTTCTTTGTGTTTGGCTTGTTTCACTTAGCCTAACGATTATCAATTCCATTTATTTTGTTAAACGTGTCAGCATTTCATTAATTTGTTTTCATTGAGTAAAATTCTATGGTGCATATTAAAAGCACATTATTTATCAATTCATCCACTGATTTAAGAATTGTTATGTCAAACATTTGCTCTTGTGAATAGCATTGCAGTAAACATGGTAGCCACAGGCTGCCTTTATTTCCTTTATATTCCCAGAAGGGGAGTAGCTGGGCAAAAGGAAAACTTGTCTTTAGGTTTTGAGGAGCCTCCATGCAGTTCTTCCATATGGCTGTACTAATTTTCTTTCCTACAAATATTGTAGTGCAGTCCTTTATTCTCCACCTTCCCAACAGTGTTCATTATCTGTTTATTTGTCCTTTATTATAAGAGGCAGCTAACTGGGTGAGATAATAATTCATTGTGGTTTTAAAATGTGACTCCCTGATGGGTAAGAATACTGAACATGCCATAAAGCATTTGTTCTTTATTTGTAATTCTCTTTTACAAATGTCTACTTAAGTGATTTTTTCAATTCTTAACTTCATTGTATGTTTTGTTGTCAAATATGTTGAGATTTTTATACGTTATGTGTAACAATGTTTTAGTGATGTGTAGTTTGAATATTCTTTTGTTCATTATCTCTTCATTCTGCTCATTTTATCGCTTTGCTGTGAGGATTCTTTGTTCATTATAATCACATTAACCTGTTTTGCTTTTGTTGCTTGTGCTTTTGAGTTGTTATCTAAAAGAGAAAAAAGATGATTGCCAGTGCCATTTTTTCACAAAACTTTCCATGTGGTTTCCTGTAATAATTTTATGATTTCAGGTTTTAAAATTATTACTTTGATCTATTTTTAGATGTGCTTTGTATAGAGTGTAAGGTGAAGGTCTCGGTTCAAACTCCTGTATAATGAAACCCAATTTCCCCAACATTATTTATCGAGAGAATATGGTTTCCTACAGGAAGGTTTCTACACCTTTGTCACCGATAACTTGACTATAAATGTGTATATAAATTTCTAAGAACTTTTGTGTTCTCTTGATTGAAGTGTTTTTATGCCACTACCATGCTGTTTGTGTTGCACTCTGTGTGTAGCATGCCTTGAAATTTGCAGTTGTGATGTCTCGTTCTTATTGTTTAATGGTGCTTTGATTGTTGGGAGTCCTTGTATATCTTAGGATTTTTGAAATTCTTGTAATAATGCCATTGGTATATTGATGGAGACTGCACTGAATTTGTAAATTGTTTTGGGCAGTAGGGACTGTTCGTAATATGTTTTTCTAACCCATGAAAACTGGAGGCTTTTGCGTTACTTCATTGGTTTTGTTTTAACTACTTTCTTTAATGCTTCCTATTATGATAAATATAGGTATTTCAAACACTTGGTTATATTTGCCCAAATTGCCTAAAATTTTCTGTGTTTACTCTAAATATGTTTTCTCATAAGTTCTTTTCCCTGACAAGAACATTGTTAGTGCATAAAAATATTATGCTTATTGTATATTGAAGTGTATCTTTAAGAAGGTTGCTGAATTCATTGATCAGTTCTAATAACCTTTTTTTAAAAGATTTATTTATTTTTCCTGGAAAGTCAGATATACAGAGAGGAGGAGAGAGAGAGAGGAAGATCTTCCACCTGATGGTTCACTCCCCAAGTGAGCACAATGGCTGCAGCTGAGCCAATCTGAAGCCAGGAGCCCGGAGCTCTTCTGGGTCTCCCAAGCAGGTACAGGGTTCCAAGGCTTTGAGCCATCCTCAACTGCTTTCCCAGGCCACAAGCAGAGAGCCAAGTGGGAAGCAGGGCCACTAGGATTAGAAACGGTGACCATATGGGATCCCAGGTTTGCAAGTCAAGGACTTTAACCACTACACTTTTGTGCCAGACCCTCTAATAGCCTTTTGATTGTGGTCTTTTGTTTCTCCCATGTGTAGACTTATGTCATCTGCAAACAGGAATGATTTACCTTGCTCATTTTTATTTTTTATTTTTTTGTGGGAACTGTACGGCTCTTTTTTTAATTACTAATTATATTGCATTATGTGATACAGTTTCATAGGCTCTGGGATTCCCCCCTCCCATCCACAATACCCGCCCCCTCCCCCCATTGTGGATTCTTACATCTTGTTGCATTACCGCAGTTCAAATTCAGTCAAGAGTCTTTCTTTGTATACCTGTATCAAGCATAGAGTCCAGCATCTAATTCTCCAGATAAATTCAACGGTTTCTTGGGGAGACCATCTCTGGTCTGAAGGTGGAGCTGACAGAATATCATCCCAATCAATTAAAAGCCCCAACACAATATCAACAACAATTTATAACATTATGGCATTAATTTACCTGGTGTTGAGTAATCAATATGCTAAAAAATGCAAGTTCTTAACCACATCCTTTGACTACTTTATTGACATTTCAATTTCAGTTTATATATAGAACCAACCCCAAGCAGCCTGTATCTCATGCAATAAGATATTGTGATGTAACCAGTGAGCATACAATCAATGTGAGTCAGACTGTTTATGATCTACATCAAAGAATTGTAAAACCTAATATACTTTTAAGACCCTAAGCTACATGTAAAAGGGGGCGGGAGAGCAGAGAAATCTTCCATCTCCTTAGAAGGTGTGAGGAAGTCGAGAGGTATAACCTATCAGGACCATAACTGGTAACTCATAGACTACAGACTTGAATCAGTATTAGACAATAGTAAAACTACAAAGTCATATGGGGGAGAATCAAGAGTGATCCTGACAATCTCTTAACAGGAAGTCATATGCACAGAGCCGCGGGGGGGGGGGGGCGGTTAGAGTGGAGCAGATGGACAGGAGGAGGTTGTTTCCCAACTCTGAAGTCTCTCACATCTTCACCAAGGACTATCAGTATGGGCACCAAGGACTACATCCCAACTAACCAAGGAGACCACGGGGAACTGGAGTGCCTCCGGAGGCTGAGAACTCTTTTGGAACTAAGACCACATGGGATGAAAGAAGCCCAAATTCTTCCTCACAGGATCCAAGGGCATCAGAACAACAGCCAGGATCCCTGAGTGGTCTGCAGAAACAGAAGAACAGTAAACTTCCTTCGGTACTAGGGAGAGGAGCTTTCTCCAGTCCTTACTTAGTTCCTTCCAATTTTAGATCCCCTCCCTCTCTTGCAATGACCATTGGGGTCACTCCAGAGTCCCCTCCAGAACAACCAAAACACCAAAACAAACAAACCACTCAAGAAATGGGCACAAGAAGTGGACAGACGTTTCACAAAGGAACAAACCCAAATGGCAAACAAACATATGAAAAAATGCTCAAGTTCCCTGGCAATAAGGGAAATCCAAATTAAAACAACAATGAGGTACCACCTAACGGTAGTAAGGATGGCTCACATACAAAAACCAACAACAACACTTGCTGGCGAGGATGTAGGGAAAAGGGAACCCTACTCCACTGCTGATGGGACTGCAGGTTAGTACAGCCTTTATGGAAATCAGTATGGAGGACACTCAAACAACTGAAAATCTGCATACCATATGATCCAGCAATAGCACTCCTAGGACCGGCGGCTCACTTGGGGAGTGAATCATCGGATGGAAGATCTTCTCTCTGTCTCTCTTCCTTTCTGTATATCTGACCTTGCAATAAAAATAATTAAATCTTTAAAAAAAAAAAAAACCTCTGTTGCCATATTCCTAGATGGAGTTGCATTCAGCTTCCACTTTCTCAGTCTGCACATACCTGATCCTAAGCATTTTCCGGTCTAAATCCCTTCAACAGTCAGACATGGGAGATGAATCCTTCTCCAAGTATACTCAATAGCCAAATGTATGCAGTTCTGACCCACAAGCAGCTAGAGCACAGGCTGTAGACTGCTGGTCAGTCTGCAGTAGTGCCTCACGTTCTGGACTCCGTGCTGTGAGATTTGTGGTTCCTGGATGCCCTGGAGAACAAAGACTAACAACTCACCAGGAAGTGCTTTGCTGGCCAATGATGCTCCCCTCCCATCTCCTAGTACATTTATGGACCGGCTGTTGTCATCATTCACCAAAGTTCTCCAAACTTCTAGACAAATTAGTTTGAGGGAATAAAGTATCAAAATGAAACAAAACGGATATGCAGCAGACACAATGGAAGATAAGAAGCTTTAATAAATCAGCATTTAAAAATTTTTATAAAGTGATAAAAAAAAAATGATTGCCGTGACTATGCCTGTGGATACGGCTATAGCCCAGAGTGAGTTGTGAAGCTTCATAGATGAACCCGAAGTGAGGTGCCGAGTCGTCGGAATCCGACGCGTCTCCTGAAGCATGATGCACTTAGATTTGGGGTAGATCCCAGAAAAAAAGTCTTCCATGTTAATATTCATCAGAAAATGGGTAATTTGGATGTCCAATACCACTAAAATGAGAAAAACAGACAACCTCAACTCAGTCAATACATTTTTAGCATATTCAAGACCTGAATCCTCTGAGCTGATATTAGAGAAAAGCTAATTTTATTTTCCCTCGTTTTAAAATCTTACATTCAAGAACATGACCTTATACTAAATATAGTGTGTCGTTTTCATTTTTTATATCATATTGTTTAACTTGGTGTTTAAATACAAAACATGCAGTACAAGAAATTCAAGCATATTTCTCCGACATAGCTGCATCTTTCAACGATGCGAGGCAGTATCTGAAGCTATTGTGCATCAGTATATAGACATTCGCCTAGTCTGTCACAGGAAACAGAAACTTATTTTACCTATTTTTGACCAATGATTTTTCATCTATTTTATCCATTTTTGACCAAGAATATTCAATATTTACAAATATTTCAAGTGGTAAATATTACAGTTGACAATTTGACATCACTTTTATTAAATCCTCCATTATTTACTGTGCATATTATACAGTCATGGGATAGATAATTGAACAAAAAAAACACTTTGATTAGATAGTATACTATGTGCAAAGGCTTCTTATATAGTTTACGTAAGTCTATATCTCTAAGTACTGAAAACATAAAGTGGCCACAATCCATACTTATTGAAAACATTAAAAGATAATAAGTATCCATGACTTCACACTTTCTATGTAGCTTTGCTTATATTTTATTTCAGCCTTCATTCCACTATGGTAATAAAACATCCAACAGTTTTGAATATATGCAATTGTGAATAGGAACAATCTCTTCATACATTATCAATTTTATTTCTGTCATAAATTAAAAATACCACAAAAGGCAGGAATCTATATTCTTTGTCAACATTATATTACTGTGTTTTCTCAGAGTTCCTAGAGCACAAAAGAAAAATAAAGCTTTGTGTTGGCTCTAAGTTACCCTCATTGTGGGTTTTTTCTTTATTTCAATCTCATTCTGTGGCTGAAAGTCAATCTAAAGATTTCATCTTCTGCAAATCACAATATTTCAAGAAATCATAACCAAATGTTTCAGTTGATCCACTGAGACCAGCCTTTCTTAGGTTCAATGCAGATATTGAGTTCTTATCAAACTCCCAGTGAAAAGGAAAGGAGTGATTTAAAGCTATCAAACAGGAGGTTAAAAGAACACAAAGGGAAATGCCATAGAGAAAGGAAAAAAATGTCTGCCTGTGGATGCCCCTGGACCCTGCACCCTTGTGGGAGGCCTGGAAGAGACCCCTGTGTTCTGGTTTCAGATTGGCTCAGCTCCAGCCCTTGCGGCCACTAGAGGAATGAACTTGAGGAGTGAAAGCCATCTTCAATTGTTTTCCCAGGCCACAAGCAGGGAACTGGATGGGAAGCAGGGCTGCCTGGATTAGAACCATTGCTCATATGGGATCCCGACGCGTGCAAGGCGAGGACTTTAATTACTAGGCTATTGCACAAGGCCCCACTGGCATTATGTTTTAAGTGGGTGAAATTATTTTTATGTACTTAAATATATAATTTGGGACAAACGAATGATATGAAATAAATCAACAAACACAACTGGAAGAAAAGTCTAACATTGAACAGCGTAGGTTAAGTTTCTTTTTCCAAACTTTTAAAGATTCAAGACTATTTTGAGGAGAAAATGTATCAGACATTAATGAATTGTTTCTAGAAATGAGGAGTGAATTTGACTTTTACAGATACTGAAATATTTATACAATCGTAGGTCTGTAAAAATTGGAAGGGAATTGTTTTAATGTCCTATAAAAACCCCAAAGGTGGGATGAAAACAGAATTACTACCTTAGGATTGCCTTGAACGCATGCCCATAGAAAGAACAAGCCCAGTGGCTAACACCAATCCTACATTCCTACTGTGAAACTATAAGCATGCAATGCTTTTAACAAAATCACTTACAATTCAAGGTGAGAATAGCGAAGATTTTTATCCAAGCCATCTAGTGTTTTCATATCCTCTGAAGGCAATTCAAAGTCAAAAATCTGTTAGGGAAGTAGAAAATGTTTTCTTAGATTTTTGTTGTGTATATGTTCATCCAGAAAATCCTGAAATCTCGTCTAACATTTTGAAATAACAAAGGACTAACATGCTTCAACGGATGGATCACAATCTGAAAATAAAGTTCAGACTAGATACCACGTGGGAAGTTGAGTAGGGAAATAACTTCCAACGCTTCACTCATCAGTCCAGGGGAATTTTTAAACTACAAAATTACGAATATAAAAAAATTTTCTATGTTTTGTGTAAAATGTGTTTTGTTGTAGAACTATAAAAAAGCTTATAACTCTGATGTCTTCATTGAGAACAGAGACACTGTCAGCATGTTCAAACAGAATAAAAAATTTGAATCGGTGTTTCCCAAGACAGGAAAAACTAAGTGCAAATGACACATGAATATTTGACTACATATGCAATACAAACTAAAATGAAAACTTTAAAAGCAAATATTTTCTAATCTATGTCCTAATTTGAAAATAAAGAAAAAAAAATCACCTATGCAAAACCACAAAGTGTATTGTGAAATGTAAAGCTGAAACATTATTCTGCTTTCTATACAATCATAATTCTTTCTAGTCATGACTATCAAAAACATGCATGAATTTGGAAACATGAGCAGAACCAGAGAACAAGTGTGGCCCCAAGAGTTCATGACATCTTGCAAAGAAGCACATACACGATGAGTATTGTGTGGGTTTATGGGTGCCTACAGCCCCGCACCCTCATCACCTGGGCATTCTCCTTGATCCGCTTCTCATTGAAGCTCTTGGCCAGGACCACCACCCCACGCTGCAGCTGGTAGCGAAGGGCAATCTGGGCTGGAGATCGTTTATGCTTTTTGGCCATGGCAGAAATCACTGGGTCTTCCAGTAGTACTGGGGAATTCTGATCCACCCTGGAGAAAGAGGCAGGAAGTTGAACTCCTTGAGATGAGTATTGAGATTGGAGGCCTCCAAAAACAGTTTAAATCTTCTTTCTTTAACAGTACTTCTCAGGGTCCAGTGGTGTGGCCTAGTGGCTAAAATCCTCACCCTGAACACACCCAGGATCCCATATGGGCACCGGTTCTAATCCCGACAACTCCACTTCCCATCCAGCTCCCTGCATGTGGCCTGGGAGAGTGGTCAAGGATGGCCCAAAGCCTTGGGATCCTGCACCCGCGTGGGAGACCTGGAGGAAGTTCCTGGCTCCTGACTTCAGATCGGCACAGCACTGGCCATTGCGGTCACTTGGGGAGTAAACCATCGGATGGAAGATCTTCCTCTCTGTCTCTCCTCCTCTATGTATTTCTGATTTTCCAATAAAAATAAATCTTAAAAAAAAAAATCAGTGCTTCTCAATTGTGGTCCTTGGATCTGCAGTCAGTATTATCTGCAATGTTTTCTGAAATGTAAACTCTCACCTCTCCCTGAGCCAGGTAAGAGTTAAGTCTGTAAAAGTAAATATTTTGCAACTCATAGTATTTTATCCACAATGGTATTTGGGAAATCTGTCTTGGTTTTTGTTTATTCATTTTGCCTTGTGTTTACCATTGTGGAAGTCGGTGTGATCCCAGAGCACTATAGGCAACAAGAACAATGCCTTTGGATTTGCAGAAGTTCAACAGTTTGCTCTGGTTGAGATACAGATGACATTCCACCTGTAGAGAGACAACATAAGAGAGAATCAGGCTCTACAAAATGCTGATCTAAAACGTAGCTGACTTTTAAGAAGAAATATGAGATTTAAATCAAATGTAACATCAAGCTAACATTTTTAATTTTACTTTAAGGATATTTATTTGAAAAAAAAAGATAGAGTGAGATCTACCAACTTCTGATCCACCTGTGTCTCTCCCATTGCTGGTAGGGATACATGTACTTTTGTCATTATGAACTAATTCATGTACTTTAACAGATAGCTAAAGCAGAAATTGAGCAGCGAAGATTGCAGCCATCCTAAGCAGCTACTTAGCATGTTGTATTTTTTTTAAAGTAGAAGGGACAGTCAAAATGCAAATAATTTCTTAGATATTTAAACTATATCCGGTTAGGAAATATTTATCCAACAACACCCAATTAAGCAAAACTTATTAAGGGGTATTATGTCCTCTTGAATTTTCCAACATAAGAAATTACTAGTAATTTCAGTGGTGAAACATATCCACATCCAAGGGATCTAACTTTAAATATATAGAAGATTGGAGTAAAGAAACAAGTCATGTATTCTAACAAAGAACTATCTGCAAAATCCAGAGCAACTGATAAAGTGCAACTATCATCACAAAAACCAAAATTGCTGAGCATTCTAAGGAAAAAGCATGGACAATATGACAAATATTTGTGTGACTTACTTTAGTCTTGCCTTTAAAGGGCACATTTAGGGAGAAGGAAGGAAAGCTATAGTATGGATTTAAGTAAAGTGATATGAAGAAAAATTGTTATCTGCTTTAGATAAAATTATGCAACTATGCCATGTTCAATCAGAAATGGTCTCTGAAATATATAGGATTCAATAGTGAGTTTTCTTATCACATACATACGCATGAATTTTGGATACATGAAAAACTTCAGTAATTATTGATATGAGTGGGAAAATAAGGAATATCTGCAAAAACAGAATTTCAGAAGGCAATAGTTATTAAAATTTAAAAGTTGGAATAAAACAAATGTTCTTAATTTTATTGTATTCTGCTTGAAAATAAGAGTGCTACATCATTATGAACAAAGTCATAGATTGTGTAGGCCATTATTTCTAGTGTGAGGTATTTATTGAATGATTGGAAATTGCTAGACACTAAGATAGAACATGGAACTGGGCACAGAATAGATGGGCATAAACTGATGATTCAGTGGCAGGAAGCAGGACGGGAATCAAATTAAAGTAGGCCTGAGGATAAGATCAGCCTAAATTCTGCTAAAACTTCCCTAGTGTCTATGCTGGCTACCACAGTGACATCATGATAGCCAATTTAATCCCTTCCCCCCTTGACATTTTGATAGTCTTAGTTTTGTTTTCCCCTGTATCAGGAACTTTCTTTAAGACACCTGTAAGAAGAGATGCCAGGAACATTCATGTCTCCAAATCCTTGTCCCTTACCTTCTCTTACATCCATTCAAAATTTATTTACTGCTCCTTAGATGTTTTCATGCCTTCTTTCTTAAATACCAAGTGTTCCACATCTGCTTCTGCTGTCGGTGCTTCAGGGGATCCTCCACAGGCCTCTTCATGCACCATGGATAAATCCATCTGCCCACTGAGATTTGTTTATTACTTGCTGCCCCTCTAGATCATTTCTCCTCCTACAGATTCCTACACATCTGAATACTAACTTCACCTTTTCAAAAAGACATTAGCAGACTGAAAATGCAAGACACTACCTGCCCTTTCATAAAGTATCTCTGCCTGCAGAGTCTTTGGATAACCAAAATAAGTGAAACGGGAGTGGAGGACAAATGGGCATGTGACAGTAGAAAAACATGAGACTGAGAATTCTTACCTGGTTGCAGACAGGCTTGTACTTGAGGCCTGGCTTGTTCAAAATCATCTCCAACAGTCTGCGGTTGAAGTTGGAAACCCCGATGGACTTCACCAGCCCTGCATCCTTGCACTTTTCCATGGCCTAGGAGGAGAGATTGTGAGGAATAAATTCTTGTGTCCTGCTTGGAAAAGTAGAAAATTCAATGTACAAAGACAGAATAATGTGCTTGCCCTTAGTGCTCTGAATTCTTCTCTGTTACTCTCTGCTAAATCCAATTATTGTATCCCACTGCATTTTTTTCTGCACATTAACCTGTAACAGTGGCAAGAATTCCTAAATCCAACAATAAATATTCCTTTCTTTTAAACTGAAATTCAACTTCATGCTCCCTGTTATTAAACCCTTTTACTCACCTCCCAAGTGGCACAGAGATCCACTGTGTCAAATATTACTTTTCCGTTTTCATCTTTTGGAACTATATCCTCACCAGGCTAGAACAAAGCAGGCATTTATCACTATGTTACCAGACTCAGCAATCCAGATCTTATCAATACACTCATATATATTTGGCTTAGCATTCATAAAATTTATATACTTACACTTGTACATTACATATGTAGCATTGCAAATGTCACTATGTTATATACTTCCTCTTCGAATAGCCACACTATCTGTTGTTAAACACAATTTTCTAGTTTTTAATAAGGTCCCATGTATTTGTGTCACTTTGTGCTTTTCTTTCCTATTGTCCAGATAGATGTGTCTGTTTCACTTTGACAGACATTAGTTACATGACACTGAATTGACCAATACTTAATTCAAATCTTGCCCCAAAATATACAGAGTTGCTCATGTTCCTGCAAATTTGGAGCCAAACAGCATGTGCTTATATCAAAGAACATAAATCAATATTCTTTTCCACCATAGTATTAAAAGATGCAGGGTAGCTTCAAATGTTTGTGTTCATGTTTAGAATTTCTGCATAGGTGTATATGCCACAAAATTAAAAGGCTAAGATAAAAATCTAACATACATGTTTTATTGTTGGGGAAAATACTGATACAGAAATATCCTCTAAAATTACTTCCAATCATTATATGTACTCATAGCTCGAGATCCCCATTATATATATACAACAAAATATATTGCATAAAACAATTTAAGAAATCTCTGTAGCTTACATATTTTAAGCTTCCATACCCTTATCAGAATCTCTTATTCATTCATGAAAATTATGGTCACATCTGTACTTACAATGAAAATATCTGATGTTGATCACCTACCTTCATAGGTACTGGGAAGTGAATAATATAGAGATCAATATAGTCCAGTTGAAGTTTTTTCAGTGACTGTTCCAAGCATGTTCGAACCAGCTCTGGTCGATGGAAAGTGGACCAAAGCTGCAGGAATTAAGTAATAAAGGGTTGACAAAATTAACATATCATTCAAAGTTCTTGTTTTTCTTCATTTAGTGAATATCTTCTTGTATTAATTTAATTGTGATGAGTGCTTAATGAAAACAATCCATTTGTTTTAAGTTTCCTACATTTTTACTTATAAACAGAACTTTTGTTGTTTAGATAATCCTCATAATTACCCTAACCCAACAAAGCAAGAAAGCAACCAACAGAATGGTTGAGAATTTTTTCATACTGCACAACTAATAGCAGACTAATATTTGGGCTTTATAAGGAGCTTAAAAACTCAACCACAGAAAAGCAAACAATCCTGTGAAAAAAAATGGGTGAAGGAAATAAACAGATATTTTCAAAAGAAGAGATTCAAATGCCTAACAGATATATAAAAAAATTCTCAGACTCCCTGTCAGGGAAATATAGATGAAAAGTACGTTGAAGTTCCACCTAATTCCAGTGAAGTTTGCCTACATTTAGGCCATCAACATCTGCTGGCCTTGGTGTGGGGTACTAGGTGCCTTCCTTCACTATGGGTGAGAGTGTAAGTTAGCACAACCTCTATGAAAATTGATCTACTATAGGACCCAGCTATCCCACTCTGGAACCCTTCCAAAGAAAGTGAATCTGTATATGAGAAAGTGACCTATACTCTTATAACAACGCGATCAGCAATAGTGAAAACATGACAATAAACTAGATGTTTATTGAAAGTAAAATGAATACACCTACTTCACGATGTGCTGTTCAGCCATTAAAAGATAAAATTCTATGGTTGGCAACAAAATGGTCCAGTTAAATAAGCCAATCCCCAAAATACATATCATTCATTCTCTCTGATATAAGGCAATTTTCATGCAAAGAAACAATACAACTAGAACAACATCATAATAGAAGAAAAACAGAAATACAGAACAATACAATAGAAAACAGAAATAAAAAGCAAATCCACAAATTTATACCAATTAATTAAATGAAAACTTGCTAAAAATATTCCATGGATCAAGAAATATCTCTACCACTCCTAGAAAAAAATTTTTTTTTCCTCATCATAAGCTTGAAACATCCCTATACTATTACAAACTATATCAAAATTAATTCACATTGGATCAAGTATGTAAACTAAAACTGGGACCTAACAAACTAGTACAGAACATCGCGAGACATTGACTTGGGCCATAAATTTTTGGGTAAGACTCCTGAAGCTCAGAGAGTAAAATGAAAATAAATAAAGAAATAAACAAGTGAAGTTTTATCAAGCTGAGAACCCTCACACAAGAAAGAACCAATTACAAAATGAATGAGCAGAATGAGATAAACTGTTTTGAAATTATGCATCTGACTACCCAAAACATACTGAAGGATAAAAGCAGTCCTCTATGTAGGTCCCACAGAAAAACAGGCTCACACATAAGCTAGGGGAGGACCTACACAGCCAACCTGGGGAGATGAGCTTGAGACACATGAGTCAACAATTTCTGGGTTAAAATGGGCAAAGCCAGCAAGACCAGATGCTAACATATAATGTGAACCGGCAGCCGCACCCTGTTGATTTGAAAGTGCAAGGTTAACAGCTGAATCATTGCTTATTTATCTCCCTGCTCACTCGTTCCCCATGTCACTAAACACTTGTGACAAGGGAAATTCAATGCTCACTCTTTTGGGGTGACCCAGTCTGACAACATCTGCCTCAAATAAAGGCTACTTCTTTTTTTCACAAGTGGCTATTGGCTCATTGGTGGTCATATTTCAGCACCAATATTAGAAAAGCAATGAACTGGAAAACAACAATGGATAACATAGCAAATAACATGAATACTTATCTTGTAAAAAACATAAAAATGCCCAAGAGATGTATTTAGAAACGCTCAGGTTCACTGGCATATACAAACAGAAAAATAAAAACCACAGTGAAGTATTATCTCACTCCAGGTAGATTGGCTATCATCAGTAAAAGCAACAACACAAATGTCTCCACAGTTAGATAATGGTACCCTTATTTCCTCACTCTATGATCATTGTCACATATCCTCTCATTTGTATTATAAATATCCTGGTTCCCAAACAAAAATGGAGTATATGCATATGCAAATATCTGCAATATAAAGTTAAAATAGAAACATATTAAAATGTTTACTTACTTGTTTTTAAAGATTTATTCTTTTTAATTGGAAAGTCAGATATACAAAGAGAAGGAGAGAGAAAGAGAAAGCTCTTCTGTCTACTGATTCACTCCCTAAGTGGCTATAACAGTCGGAGCTTCATCAGATCCAAAGTTAGGAGTTAGGAGCTTCTTCCAGATCTCCTGTGCAGGTACAGGGTACACAGGCTTTGGGCCATCCTTGACCGCTTTCCCAGGCCACAAGCAGGGAGCTGGATGGGAAGTGCGGCTGCTGGGACACGAATCAGAGCCTGTATGGGATGCTAGAGCTTTCAAGGGGAGGACTTTGAGCACTAGGCTCCTGTGTCATGCCCGAATTTTTATTTCTTCAAAAATAAATTTAGAAAGTAATACAAAGAAAATACGTGATTACATGATTAAACTGTGGAAAAATAATTTCTCCAAAACATTTGACAAAATTATACGATTATCATTCTACTTATCCTATCTCCTTAATTAACACACCACACATCAATCATCATACCTTAGAAGTGTAGAATATGTCTTCTCTTTTCACAGTGCCATCTGCAATCTTGCTACGGATGGCCTGGCCAACTTCTTCCTCATTTTGGTAGGCATAAGCAGCATCAATATGGCGAAATCCAGCATCTATAGCTTTTCTGATGGCGTCCACAGCCTCACTCTTAGGATTCTGGAGAAGTAGACAAAAGTAGTGTTTGTGGGTCCATATGATGAGACTTTGATAGGGCATCATAGTGACCTTCACAGGAATCATATATTTCTCATTTACTTGAATGATTCTCATTTTAGTGTGATCAATTTATCACAACTTGCGTATATCTTCCCTAATAGCAAAAGGTAGGTAGACCAGGAATTTCTTCACATGAAGCCATCACTGTTGTCAAATAAATGCAGGAATAATGCCAGGTTTATTGAGCTGATAGGATGATTTACAGGACATACTAATAGGTGAATGTCATGATTGTTATTTGCAAAATGTGCTTACCAGTGAAACTTCACACAAGGGGAAATTAAATGGAATAAAATATAGAACAAATACAGCAGAAACCTTGGTGAGTGTTCTAACAGAGAGTTCTAACAGAGAGTTATAATAAAAAGAACACATTCAATCCTGTCAGAATTGAATTTGATGGCATTTAAGAAACTATCTTTCATGAAAGCTGTTTATCTAGACTTTCCACTGCAAGATTTCCATTCAGGTTTTCTCACTGAGCTATCCTCTGCTAACCCTCACAAATATCCAATTCATCAAAGAAAAGCAAATATACACACACTACTCTCTCTGAACAGGCATTTTAGCTGAAGTCACCTTCTTGGTAAATTATGAAGTGTAAAGGAACAAAAGTTTCCTTACATTAATTGTAACAAGATTGAAATAAGCCTGTGAATGTACAGAGGATATTTCACTAATTATTTTTCTTCAGAGCCATTCTGTCTGTAGCCCTCCTACCTTCCTTCCTCCCCTAAATAAACTAACAAAATGAGAGCAGTAAGCATGCATGCTCATGGGATACGACTTTCCACATGAGAAGCTACCTGTATAATATAGAGTTACATCATTATCAACTCTGAAGACCAAGTCATTTCTATTAGACAAAATATAAATCAGTAAATTTTAAAACCACACACTTCTCAAAAACTGAACAAAGATTTGAAACCCTTGTTTAAAGGACAAACAGAACCTCAATACAAACTCTTTTAATTTATTTGTGTAATTCTATAGGTTGGCTTTATTGAATGAAACAGCAATGCACTGGACACCACATACTTCTTCCCTCTCCTAACACTAAGAACTCGTAAATGTAGCAGTCGAGCCTTTCTCTGGTGTGCTTGATTCTTCTCTCCTTCATGCAACTTCTGGAAAGTAGCAAAGCCAACCATGTCTTCAGAACACACTGCAGTGATTTACATACATATTACACTAGACTAGAATATAAATTCAAATTTGATGCAAACAGTCCCATGTCAAAAGAAAACAGAATTTCTAATTTGTGGTAGATAGTCATGTGTCAGATAATCATGTAATGACAAAACAATATCAGTGTGCAAATCCCCGCCATCATATTCACTTTTATTTCATAGGAATAAAAAACACATCTTCCATGAATTGGCAATTTAATTTTTCTCTGATTAGGTCCTCATTTTCTCTAACATGATGTTGCATTATCCTTCAAGCATGCTTCCTAGAAGTCAGAATAACACACGGAAAAGTCTATCTGGGACATGTTCTGTGATATTACTATTTTTTTAAGATTTGTTGGAAAGTCAGATACACAGAGAGGAGGAGAGACAGAGAAGAAGATCTTCGGCCTGATGATTCACTCCCCAAGTGGCCACAAAGGCTGGTTCTATGCCCATCTGAAGCCAGGAGCCAGGAACTTCCTCCAGGTCTGTCATGCGGGTTTAGGGTTCCGCGGATTTAGTGTCCCAAGGCTTTTGGCTGTCCTCGACTGCTTTCCCAGGTCACAAGCAGGGAGCTGGATGGGAAGCACAGCTGCCGGGATTAGAAGCGATGCCCATATGGGATCCCAGTACATGCAAGACAAGGACTTTAACCACTATGCTGTCACGCCAGGCCTAGTATTACTATTTTATCAACAACAGAATAACACACCCCTCTTTATAATCTACATGATTCCCCTCTAGAAACAAACAAAAAGATATTGACATAGTTAATTATTATAGAAGAAAATATTTCTTGAATTACAGTAAAAAAGAATAAAAAGCAGAGAAGTGACTCCAATCACAATTAAATCAGGTAAGTTGAGCAAAATAACAGTCTCGCGGACTATTGACTTCATTAACAGCTGGGGACCACAGAATCAGACTGTCAGGGAAAGCAAAATGTGACTTATTCAGAGGCCTTGGGAAACACTAGCCTGGCGACATGGAGAACAAAGCAAAACCTGGAAGTCCTGCAGCAGCTGAGTGACTCCGCCTCTCAGACTTGCCACCCTCCCTAAATTTATCCTCTTTTGTCTACTCAAGCATAAAGTAACCAGGCTTACCTCTGAAGAAGCAAAGGTGCCAAATCCCAGCACAGGAATGGAATGACCATCATTTAATGCCACACGCTGGTGTTTCAGATCCATTGCCTTTGAAATCTGTGGCCTGGCCAAATGCCTTTTGTTTATTAATTCTGCCTTCTCAGATCTGTAGCCTGCTCAAACACCTTCTGTTTATATCTTCTGCCTTCTTAGGAGCTTTGTGGAAGCCAAAGTTCCAAGTGCTTATCTGAAGGTTGATGTCATATGGGAGGCATAAAGTTAAAGTGCTATTCCACATGTACGGAAAGACTTGAAGCGAGAGTCCACTGCTTTATATGAACGAGACCTTTAAGTATGGATTATAAAAAAAGTCACAATAGATTTTTCCCTTTGCAAGGGTTTCTATGTTGGATGTCCTTCTGGGCTAGAACCTACAAAGGCCATCCCTGTTGATGGCCTTTTAACACTTAGGAAATAGCTGTATAATTTCTGTGCTGTCCAATTGAAAGTGATATTTTTCTGGCAACCTGGTGAGGACCAAATGGTGACTTTCCTGGTAACTTGATAACCTGGTGAGGAATCGTGGCTTTCCCCAAGAAAGGCTAATTTTCCTTCTCACTGAAATGTCTGGCTTCTCGGGGTTTCAGTAATATCCTATTTGCCAATATTTGCAGTACATGCAAACTTGTGATAGTGAAATGGTGGTTCATGGAGAATGACTTTGCTCCAGACCTGATATAATATTTTATCAGACTTGGGAAATCTAACTCCTCTTAGAGTAGCCAGAAGTGCTTCACCATATCTATCTCATACATTACTCTGGACTCTTGCTTCAACCAAGAACTTTAGCCTGTGCTCCTTGACCCCAATCAGCACGTGATTCTGAGACTCCCAGTTGGCCACTTTGTACCCAATTTAATCAACAAACAAAACCTTAAAACAGCTAGTTCTCTTGTTACAGAGCAAAATATATTCTCACATATTCGAGTCACTGTCTTGAATAGTATTTCTGGATGAAACATTACTGCAGATCTTGAGTATTTGGAGCTCAATACTAATTAGGAGTCCCTAAATCTACCCAGTCCTACTTTCAGTACTGATCTCATAGTTACCATACCTGACAGGATACTGGCTTGGAATTTATAAGCCAGGCACATTCAACATCAGCATGCTTTGATGCTAACACCTAAGAGTTCATCATACCAACAGTTTCACAAAAGTGAGCCAGATACTTGTACGACCAGAATCTCAGTGATGACATAAAGCAGAGCACAGATTCCTACTCAAGCTACCATCAACTGTTACAAATCAAGCTGTAAGGACAGAACTAGAGATAAAGCACTTTATTCAAACAAACTCAGAGGTTCATCTCCAAGAATACAATATTCATTCCACAACAACCATCCTGCAGAAGTGAAAGAACCAAATGTTATTATAGCTGTGAAAAATCAATGTAGAAACACAAGAAATATAAATAAGTAAAGTGATAAGACTCCCCAAAAGGAAAAAAATCAATGTGTTAATATTGGATTGTGAAGAAAGAGATATTAAGGAGATCTTTAAAAACGAATTAGAGAATGATTATAACACTGTTAAAAAGGAAACCGGAAATATGTTAAATGAAACTGTGAAATAACTAACATAAGTGATAATTCAACAGGGATGAGTATATTAAAAAAGAACCAAACAAATATAAATAAATAGTATACCCAATACACCAAATGAAAAACAGAAGAAAAAAAGAATCTGCTCTAGGAGATAGATATTTTAATGTATGTTAGACAACAATAACAAAAAAATAAAAAAGAAGAGAGAATTAAAAAGTATTCAGAATTTGCAGGATACAATCAAATTATCAAATATACAAAATTTAGGAGTATTTGAAAGAACATGAAAAAGCAAAGGCTTACAGAATCTAGTCAACAAAATAACAGCACAAAATTTCCCCAATTTGGTTGAAAACATGGACAAAAAAAATGTAAATGACATAGGATCCTCCAAAGACCTAATCTACAACATGAAGTGTTATAGTCAAAAATTTACAATTAAAATGTAGAATACATATAATAACAAATATAAGAAAGAAAAGCCAGATACAGTTTTAAAGGGATTTATATGAGAATGACACCAGAAACTATACAGGCCCAAACAATGGAAAGATATAGTCCAGATTCTAAAGGGGAAAAAAAATCTGCTCTTCATCAGGAATACACAACATGGCCCTGTGTGGTAGCTCAGCACCTAAAGTCCTCACCTTATACGTGCAGAGATCCCAGATGGGTGCTGGTTCTACTCCTGGAACCCTGGCTTCCCATCTAGCTCCCTGCTTGTGGCCTGGGAAAACAGTTGAGGACGGCCCAAAGCCTTGGGATCCTGCACCTCCATGGGAGACCTGGAAGAAGCTGCTGGCTCCTGGCTTTGGATCAGCTCAGCTCTGGCTATTGTGGCTGATTGGGGAGTGAATCATTGAATGGAAGATGTTCCTCTCTGTCTCTCCTCTTCTTTGTATATCTGACTGTCCAATTACAATAAATAAACCTTAAAAAAATGTAAAACACAGCTCTGATTCATAAATGAAGTTTTAGCAAAGATTTTTTTAAATAGCCCAAAATTCAAAGTATTTCTCATGATCATGCCAATGCCAATGAATGGATTAGCAAGAACAATTGCAAAAACAAGATCCGATTATATGATGTTGACCACAGGCACATTTTCTCACAGTCTGAAGGGATGGAAAAGATAAAAAAAATACCCCATGCTAGTTGAAATTAAAAAGAAAAAAAAATGAATGGAGTAGCCATAGTAACAACAGACAAAGAAACTTGAGGACAAACTATTTAGAGAGATCAAAAAAGGTCAATATAAAATAATTCTGGTGCCAATTCAACAATATGTGACATTGTAAAGGCATACATATTGAAAACAAGACACCCAGTTTTGCAAAATCATTAGACTTGTAGGCCAAGGAAAAGGAATCGAAACTCCAGAAACTATTGAACAGAAACACAATTGGTTTTAGCAGGCTTGGAAGTCTAATTCCTCTTACAGTATCCGGAAGTGCTTTATCACACGTATCTCATACATCATTCTGGATTCTTGCTAAATGAGTTAAACAAACTAAAATTATTCCCTGGAAACGGATAATCTCCTCAACCAATGATGTTGATAAAATGTATTTCAACATGCTTTAGTTTAAAATTCGATCCCTTCCTTATTCATTATAAAGATTATGGAGTTAAGGCTACAATCCATCAAGTTCCTTGAGGAAACAGTAGTGCTAGTCATTAGTGTAAGCAAAGTAGTATTGAGTAAGATTTGGAGGCACAGACAAGAAAAGAGACGCATGAGATGACATTAAAAAGTTGCACAGAAAGGGAACCAATCAACAAAATGAAAAAGCAACTAGGTTTATGTAAAATATTTATGAACTATGAGCCTGATGAAAAATCAGTACATAGGATAATTCAGGAAAACACAAAACTCCACAAAAACCAAGAGCAATCAGTACATTTTAAAAATGGGCAAAGTTGCAAATAGGCATGTTTTAAATGATGACAGAAGTTTCCAACAGACACATGAAAAAAAAAATGCATGTTATCAACACCCTTCAGGAAAATGCAAAAAGAAGCCACAGAGAACTATCATTTAAGTCCAGTTACAATGATTAATACAAAGTTGGCGGGTTCAAATTGGTATAATAGCAGGAAAAATAGTAGCCTCTTCAGCAAACAGACTCCACAAATGATTAAGGTCAATTTCAGAATGTGAAAATGTTCTTACTTTCAAACATATCCCTGTTACTTAGCTGCATTTTTCAGTACTGCACAACAATATCCAGTGTAATCTTACACCAAAATCTACAAGAAAACAGGTTTTTTTTTTCCTGATATTCAACAAGGACATGTCCACAAACTGTTCAACAGTGAAAGAATATTCATGTGGCATAGGTTACTGTTAGCAATCTGATATGGTTGGTTGCTTAATTCTTTAATATTTAGCCAATGACACAGCATAAATTACAAGATTATGAAATGGAGATAATGTCATATAAAAGATAGTTAGAATTTTATCTAATTGTATTAGCTTCCCATTTACAATTCTTAAGAAAAATACCATTTTAAGATAAAGGTAAATTGATAAGAAAGAGTTGAAAGTCAAAAGATTTCCTGTATGTCTTGCATGTTTCTATAACTACTAAAAACATAAAATGCAAACAATGAACGCTCAAACACATCTACAGGAAGTAGAAATCATTCACTGCCTGGCTTTCTGTATCCTTTTCATTGTGTCTGCGCTCTATTCTTAATTTCCCTCCACCCAAACAAAATGTTCGAAATTATAGCATATTTACCAAGTTGAAAAGATGAAACTTTAACCCTCTAATCTATTTAATTCATAGGGCATTTTTGTCATAAATTAAAACAACTCACAGGGAGCAAGAATCCATGTTACTGTTAAATTGGTATGTTTTCGCAGGGATCCTTTGGCCTGTGAGCACAAAAGGACAACAGGTATCATCATTTGGCTATACATTTTCTTTCATTATACATTTATTAAAAACTAGATTCTCATTTTGGGGGTTTAAAATCTACCTTGAAGGCTTCATATTCTACTTTGAGATAACTATAGTTTGGAAAATCATAATGTTTGACTTCTAAATTTTTAATACAAATATATTTTGCATATTTATTGGATGCAATACTAAGAAGATAACCATACTTGTCTCGTTTCCTACTCCAGCCTCCTTCTTCCCCTACCTGCCCCTCTTTTATGTCTTGTTTTTCTCTATAACTCCTTTAGTAACTATTTTTGGTGTTTCATATATATAATCTTTTTTTCAAGATTTATTTTTATTGGAAAGTCAGATATACACAAAGGAGCAGAGACAGAGAGGATGATCTTCCATTCAATGATTCACTCCCCAAGTGAGTGCAACGGCCAGTGCTGCGCCAAGCCAATCTGAAGCCAGGAACCAGGAACCTCTTTCAGGTCTCCCAAGCGGGTGCAGGGTCCCAAAGCTTTGGGTCATCCTTGACTGCTTTCCCAAGCCACAAGCAGGGAGCTGGATGGGAAGTGGAACTGCCGGGATTAGAAGTGGGGCCCATATGGGATCCCAGCATGTTCAAAGCAAGGACTTTTAGCCACTAGGCCACACCGCCAGGCCTATATATATAATCTTAAGAGTGTAATGATTCCTTCCCCAACACTAATTTTCC